GAACACCATTCATGAATTAATTATAGGATTATTTTCGTTAATATCTTATTTATGATTTATCATATTACATAATGTAGGTATTATTTCTGACAATTTTTACCATAGTATAGTAAAAATTTTGTTTTTAGCTATATAAAGATATCATTCGATCTAATAGTTTATGTATAGATACATATATATTTTTTGTTAGTTATGATCATGAAAAGCAATTGTATGAAATTTAAATACAATTAAGTGTACTGCTCAGGTTTGCTGGAAACAACTGAGAACTAAGGAATATTCTTCTACAGCTATTATGCAATTATGCAAAGTGCTGGAATCATGTTACATTATTGATTCAATATCATGTTTTAATACTGCGTCTATAGCTTCTGATTTCATAAGTATCTAATTACTAGAAATATATACACTATGCATCATTGAATATGGTTCTCACAGTGCTGCAGTGAATTATGGCTGTGTTGCACCTTCATCTTATCAGAATGTCATATCAGTTGTATCATAAATTGTTCTTGATTAGGATTAATGTACAACATTAATTTATTTAATTGAAATAATAAGTCTTTATAATTTCTAAGCCCTGGAAGTAAAGGAGGCCATGCTCATTTTTTCATTAAACTATTTAGTAAATAAGAAACAAGTTTTAATAGCTCAAATGTAAGGGAAATTGGCTCCTTGAACAAATACAAAAATGAACATAGTGTTCATACTTTACCTCCTCGGTACAGATATTTAATCAGTAATCAACATTTAAAATATATATAATATATATATATATATATAATATATATATATATATATATATATATTTTATTAGTTAAATTTATTTTCTCTTAATTTTTATTAATCCACAACTGTCAGTGTTCACTGACAACCCGCAAATGTGCTTATAATAATCAAAGACAGTAAAAGAAAGGGTATGGAAGGCATGAGGAAGTTTGTTAAATATATGAATTAAGTATGAGAAAGAGTTGATCAGAGGGAAGGAGGTGCGGTCAAATAAATACTAAACTATATAAATAGTATTATTTAATTATAATGCTGACGTTTTGACCCATCTTGCAGGTCTTCATCAAGGCGTGGGATTTGCCACTGCGGGAGGCAGTTGAAACACCCGCAGTGCCAAATCCCGCGCCCTGATGAAGACCTGCTAGGTGGGTCGAAACGGCATTATAATTAAATAATATTATTTCTATAATTTAGTATTTATTTGACCGCATCTCCCCGATCAACTCCTTCTCATACTTATTTCTTATATTTAACAAACTTCCTCATGCCTTCCAACTTCCAAATATAGTTAAAATTAATGTTTTCTCTGTTTTACATTTTATTCTAAAATTACCATTTTTCATTTCTTATGTTACCTTATTTTGATTATGTTTATTTCATTGATCCGTGCTTTGTTGCCATCATTATTATTTATTTCTTATTTCTCTGTTACTGTTTTATTCTACCTATTTTATTTTACTTTAATGTTCACTCTATCTAATTCATTTTACTTACGATCACGATCAGGTCTTCAAGGTACGGGCAGAGAAAGAGGAAATTTATATGAAATGTATACCTTACCGGAAGGAAAAGTACAGAGATGAATTTTGAATGATGAATGAGAGAATTCTCAGTTAAGGGACTATGGTTGGGAAGCATCCCACTTAATACAAGTAATTTTTATCTAGGGCTCGGTGTTGAAAGGAAGCAGATGCAGACCATTACAGAAACTATTATTTTAGACTCGTTGGGAATCCTCCGTCACCATGTATATTGATCTAGGCCTTCGCCTATTTGATTCTATAAATTGTTCTTGGCATATCTGATATGTATTCCAATGGTCCCACCTAACGCTCTTTTTTTTTTTACAATATCTATTGATTGATGAGTATGGTGTGTTGCTTAGCAACTCAACACAGTTGAGCAGTCGTACCTTGTATTTCTCTTGCCGTCATGGAGACATAAGGCTGTGTGGTTGTAATCTAATTAAAACCTAATATAATTATATTAAGATGCAATAAAAACAAATCAATAATGAACATTAGGTTGTGTATCATGATTAGAATATTTCCCTGTGCTGAAATATATTTATTTTGATTTCATCAATTAAAATGTTTTAAGAACATTATAAAGCATTACAAATTAATAGTTTCTGTTATATGTTATATTTACTTCAATCTTAATGGAAGATTGAATTCCTCATTATTACTTAACATTAAATTAGGATTCTTAATGTAAAAAAAATATATATATATTCAAAGATTCTATTTCACAAATTACATTAAAGAAAAATTGGTATTGGCCAGCAATCAGACCTGACAACTTATAATGCTGGTAATAACTAATGTAAGTGTTGAATTAATAATACTCAGCCTTTATGAGTCTGACTCCAACCAATTACAACTGGGTAATGGTTTAGCTCTTGAGAAAGCAGAATTCTGATAGCTATGATATAATTAAAGGTTATAGATTTTAATAATCCCAATTAACCCCTCCTTAAAGTTGGATAATACAACCTGACCTTACTTGGCTTCTCTTAATATTTGTAGTACAGTCAGGTCTGATTAATGGTGAACCTCAAGTATTATGTTAAGTACAGCGTTTCCACCATTTTTTCTTTACATTTCCCCTTTGGTTAGTTAGATTTTCCCTTTTTTCTCTTAGAAAGAATTAAAAATGCCTTCTGCCAAATATACATAATATTATAAGTAACAACTCTTTTTATGTCTGTTTTATTTATATATTATTAAAAAATAGAGTGAATTGTGCTCAAATTAGGCTTTGATTGATAAAAACTGTTTCCCTTTTTTCCCTCTCAACCTTGGAATTTTCTTAAAAAGGAAACTTTTTCACCAAAGTGAAAATCATTTTGAATATTACCAATTTAAATAATTAATTTTTTTTTCAGGATGGACGTAAAAGAAGAATTGGTTGAAAAAATCATTATTTTTTTTATCGGTAATATATTCATTTATTTATTAGATTAATTCTATTGTAAGAGTGACTATCAGAGAACATACTGATGGTTTGTCGCGTCATAAGATGGTACCAGAACTTTTATTATGCAGAGTTGTGTTGGGAGAAATAATTTAATGAGTTCTTAAACTCCTTAACGCTTTTATTGACATACAAGCGCTATACTAATAACATTTATAACAAGAAGGAGTTTAATATTAACAAATTTACTTATCAATTGAAACATTCATATAATAACATCTAATTTACATAATTAATATTTCAAACATCAACTATATTATATCAGTATACCCTTTAGGTATAGAAATATGTTTCAAAGAAAAAAAAAAATTGGTTCTTTCTTATGAAAATTCCTAATAGTAAAAATAATAATTTTCTCTGATTGTAACAACAAAAGTATACAAATTCAATAATACTTAAGTGGATTAATAATTCTTAAGTAAAATTTGTATAAATATATTAATGAATATATGATTTAAGTTTAATTTAAAATGTCTTCATCATATTTCATATTAAAATGTAATATGAAAATATCAATCTATTAATATAAATAGTCAACAATTATTATGAACAATGAAGAATTATCTAAAAAAAAAGAAAATTAAAACAAAAATACTTCTTATGAAATGAAATGTTATAAAAACTAAAATGTCTTCCTTTCACTAAATACATAGTTCAATTTCAATAAAAACAAAATAAAAAGCCTTCTAATTAAATAAAATTATAAAAACAATTTAAAGTTATAAAGAAAACTTTTCTTTGTTTCTGAACATTTAAAAAAAAAAGTATGGAACATAGTTATCTTAAATACTAATTTCAAAAGTACATTTATCAAGCAAACATTTACCAAACCAAGTATGATAAAATAATTATAACATATAATTATTATGTAATATAAATACATATATTAATAAATAAAATATTTTCAAAGCTGATAGTTAACAACTAAATTTAATTATAAAACTTTATATCGGTCACAACTAATGATAAAAATACAGAAATATAAGATTGTCAGCCGTAAATATTTAAAGATCATAAACAATTCATATTTAGTATTATTTTATAATTCTTTAATTTTTTGGCATGATAGTTGGATTTCGAATAGAAAAAATAAATGACAGAAATAATCTACACTTATTTTCATTCTTAATGTTTACAAGTTATAAATAAAATATACTATTTATATTTTAGTAGCTCATAGTTGTTTTTTTTTTTTAAAGAAGGCATTTAATGAAAATTAATGAAGTTCATGATTTTTTTTTTTAAGTAACGTTTTTTACTTTATTTATTTAATGAAAACTAAAATTATTTTAAAACTATGTTGGGTACAGCTGGCATATGGAGAAAGCCTTTAAAATTACTTCAAAACAATTATACCATTCTAATTGTTTAAGAATCAAATTTGAAAACTGATAATATCAATAACTCAAATTGTGGAATCAAATGGCAGAATATATTTTAACAATATATTATCGTCTTGAAGATTAAAACAATTATGATCATAAACATTTGAAACGTTGAAAACATTTGAAATTACTGATTAAATGTACAATGGAAAAACTGTTCTAAATAACAACTTAACTAAATCACAGTTGTATAGTATACTAATAAACATTGTTATACTTATTATTATTTTTATTGTGTTACAAATTCATTGTACAACTTTTTTTATTCAAGTCATCAAATTAACCACTTAATTTCATTAAATTTAAATGTTATTTAGATAAATATTTTCTTTAGTTGAATATAGAATATAATCTTTTGCAATCACATTGCAATTAAATACGCTAGAAAGAACGTTTCATATTAAAACATTTTTAAATGATAGAGAAAATTTAAAACTTTATAAACGTTTATTATAAGTTTTGCTATTAAGCATTCAATATTATTGTACTAAAAAAGAAATGTATATATATGTATATATATATATATATATATATATATTTTAGTTTAATGTTAAGTAAAATAGAAATACTAAAATGTTTTAGTAATTTAGTGTTTTAAGTAATATAATTAAATATGTATTTTCCATACATACACAAAAAACTACATGGGTGGTGCTGTAGGTATTACCGCAACACAAAAAACTACATGGGTGGTGCTGCAGGTATTACCGCAGGTGGAATCATGGTTTGGTAAATAACACCTTCAGGTGTTATATATGAAGAAGGAATGATTCCGTGTGGAGAACTAGGATATATCGGGTAGTCATAACAATTATAGTCGACATACGGTACTGTTACACAGTACTGGTCACACTCAGGTACTTGAAAGAAAGTTTGATTGACTGGTGTTGGCGGAGGTTGTGGTTGAGGCTGCGGTTGAGGTTGTAGTTGAGGTGTATAATTGTTAGTGCTGGAGACCTCGCACTGTTGAATAAGTGGACTTCCCTCGTATGTATTACTCTTCTTTGGGCCTAAACCAAATAATTAAATTTTATACTTTTAATTAATTAATGGGAGCAAAAAAAAAAAAAAAATTATTAAAAAGATTTATAAACAAAATCCTTAGTCTCTCAAATACCAATAAATTACTAAATAATCACTATTTCGTTGATTCGGGAATGGTTAGGACATTACTACATAAGGTCTCTTCTTAAGTGATCTTACGTTTTCCAACTCTGATTTCTGAATCGGCATAATATCGAGTTTATTTTTAGTTACTGCCATGTGAGAGACTCAAGGAATGTTTGTTTAAAATCATCTAATAATAAACTAAAAGAAATTAAATAAATAAACTATTACCAGGTGTGTAAATATGAAACCGGAATTGTATAGAAAATACACCTATATTGCATAAAAATGTTTTATTCGATTTATTCTCCATCCCCATCTATACAGTTTTCACATCTATCTGGCAGTTTATGGCTACTCCAGAAAAACTGTTTCTTCTTTTGTGGCAAACTAGCCATCAAGCCATTTTCATCTAAAGTGAAGCATTGCCAAGGCAGTGTGTGTTTCATTGATGCCAACAAATAAATAGTCAGATGGAGCCAAATCTGGTTAGTTGCATGCCCTAATATTGCTCAAATAAATGCCTTAATCATTTCTTTCACTGTTTTTGTTATGTATGATGGTGCATTATCATGAAGCAAAATCACTGTATTATCTTCGTTTTTTTTCTTATATTTTGGTTGTTTTACATGTAATATTTGATTCAAATTGATCAATTTTTATCTGATAAATTAGCTAAATATAATAGGTAGTTCAGTAGTAACAGTTTTGCCGGATTTTAATAGTGATTCATTGTCCTCAAACTTTTTCGATAGTCTTCTAAGTTCTTCATTTCTCCTATCATAATTGCCACTTTTGAATTTTTTAAACCATGAAAAACTGTGATTTACCAACAGGCTTCAACAAGCATTTGATGTTATTCTGCAGCAGTTTTCTTTTAATGGTAACACTATGCTAATGTCTGGATATCTTAGTATTTAGGCACTTAACTCGACATGTTCAACACCATTAAAACGATGCAATTATATGAAATTGTATTGTGAATTAAAAATTGTTGCTAGTTGTCGAAGAAACAAAATGGTGCCAATAATGCTGTTTAACAGTAATTACATTAACAACTAGAGGCATCTATGGAAGAATTCCGGTTTCATATTTGCACACCATGGTATTAGTTCAAATATTCTAAAATCCATTTTTTTTAAAGCATGAATAGGATAATATTTGATATTGTTTCATTTAATTTTTTTTTTCAATAAAGTAAGCTATACTTCATTGCTTACCAAAAAATATGTTATTAATTATTTAAGGCTGTAACCATATTATCAAACAATTCAAATTTTTTAATCAAACATTTAAACTAACAAGCCATCTTCAGGTATGATGATTCTTAAATATAATCATAAATCTTTTATAGATTGTCTGTTATTGAAATATATTAGCTGCACAATTCTTTATTTTCACAATTTATCCTTGGTTGTTTACTAAATTGAAAAATGGAGCTTCAATTTAGTCTTTTTTGTTTTTGTTATAGCACTATTATATGTTAGTACTGTGTACAGAATCTTTCCAAGGGTTGACTATCTTCTGTCCCAAGACTGTACATTTGTTTAATGAATTATTAATAGAACTTACAAGTAATCAGAGATGGCTTCATCTTATTCTTAAAACGTGGCGGCACCGATTGGCTACTATCATCTGTAGTAGTCGATACTAAACCTGGAGATGCTGTTACTTCTCTCCCTTTAGGCTCTAGGAACGGTTAATTATAACTTTAAAAAGTTATATTTCTTAATAATAAATTGCTTTAGTTGTATTATATGTACATTCAAACAGATTAAATGTTTACTTAAAGTAATTATATTGGCACCAATAAAAATTAGCAAGCAGTTTTAAAAAAGGAAAGAAATGATTAACTGTTTTTTATTTATTCTGAAGTATATATTATATCCCAGTAGTAATAGTTATAATTTTTTTTTTTTTACTAGTTATGGGAACTAAACTTATATTCTAAAATATTGTACATTATATAAAATTTTTTGTTGTTGATGTTTATTTAATTATTGGCAGTATCTTATGCATTGGAAAAAAGTCACTAAGTAAACAATAAACAAAAACTAATAACTAAGTAACTTAATATATCCATTAAATTACAGCCAAATAAGGCATTGAATGATTCAATGATCATTGTCAGATGAATATATATATTTCTTTAAGTGAGGGAATGAACTGTATGTGTGAAGATGAATTCCTTACAGTTTTGGATTTAATGGCTTTTGCTTGAATACCCACTATTAATTTAAGAATACTTTTCTCTCCAGATACATATAACCAGTGAGATGGGCTCATAAATATTTTTTCTAGCTTGTGGAGATGGGATGGTTTAAATTTTGATGGATTTTCAACTGTTTCCATATTACCATTAACAAAAAAAAAAATCTTATCTAAACCACTTAGAATTTAATTAATAATGTTGATTAAATAATCAATTCTTGTGTTAAAATACAAGGTTAATTATCTAGATATTGTCGACCATAGAATGTGTCTACAATGATGCTTGCACTTACTATCAAAAGAAAAAATTAGAGTTCTCAAACCTGTTTCAACTGCCAGTTTATCAATTGCTTCCTGCAGTGCCACATGGCAGGCCCTGATGAAGACCTGCAAGGTGGGTCAAAACGTCGGCGTAACAATTAAAAATACTATTTTTTAAAATTTAGTATTTATTTGACCTCACATCCCCCCTCCTCCCCCGACCAACTCCTCAACAAAATAGAATGAATGATTTTATTCTGTTTCATGGTGGCCCTCATTCAACAGTTTGAAATCATTGATTATTAGTATTGATTTTGACAGCTGTCAAATTGCCAGTATAGTGATGCCAGTTTGAATCAGGTCTGGCAGGGTTGAAATTTATTTTGTGGCAGACCCAGAGAATGAATCTCGACCTTTCCAATTCGGTAAGAATAGGTTTGGTTGTGCCTCTAGAACAACCTTCCCTCTCCTCATATGCCAAAACGGGGAGAAAAACAAAAAAAGGTCTACGACGATCAGCTCTGATAAAGGGTCCAAATCCAAAGCTTAGGCCAAAACATCAGCACAACAAGAAAATAAACTATGTTGTGTACTTTCACCTCTGACTGCATGCCCAACCAACTTCTACTAAAATTGCTTTCTTCTTCATATATCCTTACAAAAATAATAAATTAAACGGTAGAAAATTTATATTAATTAAATACCTGGTATAGGAGCAGGAGGAAAGTGTTCATAGGTAGGGACCGTCGGGCTGTCTATAGTGATGTAGCTAGGCTGCATGACACCAGGGTTTACATAATACGTCGGGCCTGGCCGTACAACGTAGTTCATTCGAAGGTGCTTAAATAACATTTAAAAAATTTAATGAACTAAAATTAAATTATAACCAATAACTTTAACTTAATTAATTTTGAACTCACATCTAGTCCTAAATTGTAGAAGAATCTTAGTGTTGCCATATCTGCAAATCAACATGTTATAAAACAGTATTTTGTTATTTCCTGTAGGGTGTCTATTTTATCATTATTTTTATAGATATTTTTATTCTAAGTATAAAAAAAGGCTAGGATTCGCTCAACAGCTAGATTTTCTTCCAAACAAGAGTACCATTCACTTTATAGGGCTGAATACATTCACTCTAGGAGGAGTACACTCTAGGATGGTCTCTCGATCCAGAGTTAATCCGCAGATGATTTGAGACAATAAATAATTATCTGCCTTAGCCAAATCCTTGCCCTGATTATAAGAGCAGAGAGTAGCTCACTCACCAAGCTACCCTGCTCCCTTTTTATTTTTCTTGAATAAAAATATGCTTTTTTGATCATTACATGTTAATCTGTATCTACATATCATGTAATCCTATATCATTTATGTTTTACCTGAATGTGGCAGATCAGAACCATCAACATTCATGGATTTCGGGGCCATCAGGTTTACTGTCAGTGGTTGCTGATAGGTAGTTGCTGGTTCAGCAATCGGTAATGATAATGGTGTTGAATAAACTGGATACCTATAAAATAGAATATTTCCTATGAATTTGTGTTTAAAAACGATTCTCTTAATATTATATTGGATCAAAAACCTCATTAAATTTAAAATTTATTTTATAGCATTGTGTAGTCTGTATGTTACTAATTGTCAAAAATATTGGCCATGTCGGTGTATTAATCATCAATCTGTTACTATATAAGGATTATTAATTTAATCAGACTCTATTTCTTTCAAAAGCCTGCTTTCTGAAGTGAACAAACAATTAATTTATGAAATCAGTCTAGAATTTTGAAAATTTTAAATTAAAATTTTCTTCATCAAATTCGGACCACTATTTGTAAACATACAACCTATTGTAATTTTTACACATGTTTTGGTTTACTATTTTTAAATACCAGTATAATTGACTAAATAAAATAAAATTGATTCCTCTGTCTGATTATACATTTTATTTACTTATTTTAATTTTAAATAGCCATTTTTTCACTGACTAATGTGCTGTATGAATTAATCCCAAGTGCACACTGCTCATATTTTAATTAAACGTATTATTGTGAATCCCATTTGGTTTTTTTGAAGTGAAAACTTCTTTAGGCTTCTTTTGCACTTTTTTGTGGGTGTGAATTTGATTGATCCGTCAAATTTCCGAAGTGTTAACGCTTGGTTAGAGTCGACTGATTGAAATGTTATTACAAGTGGATTAAAATGTCTCAGAAACTAAGAATCAGGTCTGCATACTATAAGCGAGGAAATTGTTCAGCATTTCATCCTGCCTGTAATAGGCTATAATTCAAAATTGTATCTTAACATGACACCATGTTGGGGAGGCAAAAAAACAGTGTCGAAAACCAAATGATAACGAGTTTAGTATAGATTAAAATTTTCAGACACTAATCAGACCTGTGGTAAGCGAGCAAATGTTTCAGCATTTCATCTTGTTTGTAATGAGCTATTATTCAAAATTGTATCTTAATCCAATACTGTGTTACGAGAGTAGGAGAGGGAAAAGGATAGTGTTCAAAACCAAATGATAACGAGTTTTATTGAAGATATGGATTAAAATATCTCAAATACTTAAAATCAGGTCTGCATACTGTCAGCGAGGGAAATGTTCAGCATTTCATCCTCTTTATAATGAGCTATTATTTATAATTTATTTTTCATATTAATCTCATCTTGGTGTTTTCACTTCTATCGTTTGGTCTAAAGGACACACCTTAGTTTTTTTTTTAAATTTAAAAATCACAGTATGTTTAATAATTAAAAAAAAAATAAAATTACCTATAAGTATCTATGGGAGTCATAACAGGCACATGGTGATCTGGCTTTGTGCTATCCGGACATACTTGTTCTTCTGACTCCGTTATTGTCTTTAAAAAAAAAAAGAGATGTTTATTATCAACTTAGATTATTATATCATATCAATTCCAATCAAATATATGTTTACCTGATAATTTGTTGGACTATAGTCTTCATCTTCATTATGAAAATCAATTTCTTGTTTACAAAAATCTGAACTGTGAAATAGAATAAAAAAAGTCAGCTTATAGTTTTATATATATTTGTAAAATATTTACAATTTATTCATCATCTGTGAGGAAATAGGTTTGCATTTTATAATAAACTCTCCATTACATAACAATTCTAGAGCTCGATATCTGTTAAAGTAAAACATTAATTTGTTATTATTCACATTCTATGTTACTTTCATCTTGTTGAATTATCCTTATAATTATATTATTCAAGACTCCCACCGGTTGTTGTCTTGTCCTAATATTTAATTGTATGCATATTTATTAATAATAAATAATATATTATTTAAATAAAATAATTTCAATACCTTGACACAACTGGAGTCTGTGGACTCTTCACCTCTCTAGTATTTCTTAGTTGTTTCTCTTGTCTTTGTGTATAACACTCTATTTCTCTAGCTGTTTTAAGTCTCCCGACCAAGTTCTTCATAACTTTTTTTCCTAAATAGTTTAAAATTACCTTTTACGAATTGATTTATTTGTAATAATATTAATCAATAAAATAATCAACTGGTGTGATACAGAATCTCAAATTTTCCAACTTTTTTATTTTACAATTGTTGGAGGAATTGGTAGATCAACCAATGGAGAAATGTTGGTCAAGATGTAACATATTTGACATTACATGATTATTAAATAATCTGAAACTTATTTATACTATATATGAAACATTTCAATAATGGTTCAAAAGGAATAGAAGTTTACCTGGTTTTAAATCTACCAGCTGTAACGGATGCAATTTCATTGGAAGTGATGGTTTCGTTGGTGTAGAAGATGAAGGCGATGTAGGTGGAAGAAGCTCCAAGCTATCAAAAGGAGCACTTCGCCTAAATGTTAATAAGAGAGTCGTTATATTTAATTACATTAATAGTTTTTTTTTTTTTTGCCAATATAAGTTTTTCATAATCATATGAGTGTAATCACATCTTAGTATTTATTTTCTCAATATTGTTTGTTTTTATTATTAAAGTAATAAACAAATATAGATAGACATAATGCTGAAAATGCATTAATTATCAATTTATATTATATATATAGCTAGACAATAAATTAGAATATTGTATAGAAATATTTAGTTGTATTGTTGGTCAGTTTCTGCTGTTGATGAAGTACCAGGATTTAAAATTGTTGTAGTAGGACATCTTACCTACTTTAATATATTTCTGAATGAGGATCATTACGAGTAATTATGGGTGTATACCATTGGAAAGATGTTCAAGAGGTCATTTTCAATTTTCATGATAATAATCATGAAATATTATCTCTGTTCTCAATAATACTTTGATCAATTTATTTTCTGTTAAAGAGTTGTTATTATTTTTATTTTTTTTTCTTACTAGGCTGGTTCTTACAAATATGTTACATCTTGCAGACATAATGAAAGAAGAATTATTTTTACATAATAATCAAATATTTATCTTTATGTGTATTTCTTACTACAACAATGATGTTAAGGTTTTTCAAAAACAGGTGTTTGAGGATGTTAACAAACCTTAATATCATCTCCTGTTGAACATTAATAACTGTGAAATATCCTGCTTAATTTGTTATAAAATTATTGCTTTAATTTTTTTTATCTTACAGAAGTTTTAACATAAGAAGGTACGGTGAAAAATGGGGAAATGTAACTGCGTGAGTAACCAATATTTATTTTTTAATTGAATGTAAATAATCATTGTTTTTACTTTCTCAATTACTTGAGCTTAATTAAGTGTGTTGATTGGTTGAAAAAGATTTCTTATTGATTTTTATTATCTTAAATTCTTCAATATCGACAATTAAATGTTAATAGTTGGAAAGTTACTTGCCAGCGTTCTTCTTGTTTAGGTATGAATTTCATAAGATTTTCCAACTATTCTAAAGTATAACTAAATACGCTCAGATGTATATTTATAGTGAAAAAATACTTTCATAGTATTCTTTATTAAACTAAAACATTATTTAACCAATGTTTTTGATTTCTTTTTCATTATCATAGTTTCAATACGGAAGTGCAGGAAATGCTGTATTGTTTTCATAAGCCTATCAAATATTGAACTCTGATGATAGAGGAGAATTCTGAAGCATTGGTTTTGTTTTAGTACAATGAAAAAATTACTATTGAAGAATTTCTCACTGTATATTCATCTGAAATATTTTTTTTTTTATCTTTTATTACAGTTAAAACTAACAGTTTTCAATATTAATTTTAGTATCAATTTATATTATGTTCTATCTCTTAGTTTTTTAAGTAATTTATAAATGAGATTTATAGTATATTAAATATAGAAATAAAAAAAAAATTACATTTCTCCTAATTCTTCGATGAACACTATTACCGGACCTTTATTTGGTTGCATTTCTTGGACGTGACCGTGGTAAGTCCGATCATCAACTTTCACAAGACATTTTGCTCCTACTTGAAGTTCTTGACAATTCCATGGGCAAAAACCGTACCTTAAACCTTATAACATTGAAAAGAGTTAGTTTCCATTTTGAAGAAATTAAATTGAACGAAAAATGAAGCTGTATTATAATATACCTTTTCTATATTCGTTCCAAGTATCATATTCTACATTCCTATAAATTTCCATGTCTAAAGATTTAGCCACCTTGTAGGGAAAAGGTGTGATCCCAAAATCAAGTAAATCCTTGACATTTAAGTAACTGTCTCTCATTTCAAGTCTTAAGGTAAATCTAAAAAATATAGATTTTATTATATTAATGAGTTTAAAAAAATTAAGTTTGTTTATTGGTCTTTAAGTTGAGTTACCCTGTGCTGAGGAAGGGAATTTGCTCTCTCTGATCTCTTGAAGTTTTATCATGAAGCATTTTATTTACAGCATAATCTACTTCTTTCAGTTCGAATACATTCTTGTAAAGCATTTCGTAAACTGTTGCTGTAATATGTATGATACTGCTATAATACCTTAATTACGTTTTCAAGATTTAAGTTATAAATTTATTTAATGTATTAATTTAGATACTTTGTTGAATGAAGTTGGATTTTTTTTCTTAATCATATTTCTTACTGATTATTTAATAAAACTTTTGCATGTGATAATGAAATAATTTATCCTAAATATAAAATTAACAAATAGATGTCTAAATTGCTTATTGAATAAAAGAATAATTTAAATTTCTTTAGAATAATTTAATGCAATTCTTCTTTATTAAGAGTGTTTGTTTTTAATTTTCGGGATTAACACTTTCTTATCTTTAGGTCAGTTCACTACAATAGTATACTTGTGCGTTCTTCATTACATTTAACTTTCCTTGTTTAATCATTGCATTTCAAAACAAATCTACAATAAATTTCATCCATGAATTAAATTTATGTGTAAAATTTGAATTCTTTATTATTCAATGTTTATAGTTTCTCACAGCTATTGTTATCTGGTTATTTTCTTAGCCCTGATGAAGGCCTGAACTTCAGGCCGAAATGTCGGTAAATATAAAAATAAATATAATTATTTATTTTTACTATTTTTATTTTGACTGATCACCCCAACCATCCTTCTCTTCAGCTATTACATTTATATTTTATTAATAAGAATAATAAAAATGAACATTACATTGACAGAAGGCTGCTGTTGTGATATAATCTTTTGTGTAAACTGAATCGTAATGTCTGTCTTGAGAGTAACACAACATTATTTTATCTTTAAAATCGTAATTGGTAACGTTCTCTGGAGGCATCTCAATTTCTTGAAACATAATAAAATCTTTCCTGTAAGATGCAAAATAAATTAAATATTATAAATACGATTTTATAATTACCTTCTAAAAATGCAGCCAATTATACTCACCTGTACATGAGTGACATAGCCTCAATTTCAACTTTGCCTCCCCATTCTCGAGGATTATACATTTTTTCAGCATATTCCATTAGCGGGCATGTTATTAACTAAAAATAAAATAAAAAAACCTAAGTTAAGTTGCAGTATGTACGGCAAGTAATTGTGATCCAATGATAATTTAATCACTCAATTATCAGTAAACATTTCTCCAAATATGAAATCATCTGGACTGTAATAATTAATTATCCAGGGATGGATTAAGCAGAAAGTGGGCTGATCGCAATGGGGCATAACAATTTCGTTAATGACTGGAAAGGGTTTAAAACCCTTTATAAAATATTCAAACAGATCTAAAAAGAAGTAGTTAAATTTAGTTCAGATAGGTTATTATTATTTTTTTCGTTTGAGGGATGTCGACATTTTCACCGCTTAAGGGACCTATTTGTCATGAGTCCCTGTGCTTATCCAGGTCATTTTTAGAAACAATCCAGGTCATAAAATAGTTGTATAGGACATATCTGATATTTTTTATTAAATAATTATTTATGTAACTGGTATAATATAGTACTGTAAAACAATATTAGCGGCCTTACAAAAATATAAATTTTTATGATACATTAGTTTTGTATAACTGATACAAATGGTATGAATATCTTATGTATTATTCATTTATGGTAGAGCTAAACATTTAAGTACATTTCTGTTAATTTTTATCTTATTTTTCTATGCTCAAACTCAAGTGTACCAAAATAACACAAAGCCCATTATATGTTAAAATGGGTACAATTCATCAACTTAATTAATGATTTAATTTTCTAAAATGTTACTTAATGACTATTTGCAATCAACTAATAATATTTACTTTTGATTTTACTGGCTTATTTTTATTGCAAAATAAGTATTTTTAAATACTGTTTTACAATGCTCAGTAATTCAGTTGGATTTTGATATTTTTAATTCATTTACCTTTTGAAAATGATCTTCATGCCTCACCATATAATCAACTATTTGTCTCCTTAGTTCAAAGTGGAAAGTTTGTGTCAAAAATAACTGAAATGAATTAAAAGAATCATAATAATGTACTTACATAATTTGTAATTAAATAAACTTCTGAAAAAAATTGTAATTTTACCTGTTCCGACACAGCCCTGAATAGGCAAGTACCATCACGTGCCGTGTGCTTCCTATAGAAGCCTTCGCTGTCCAACCACACATCCATTTGATCTATCGGTTTCACCCAGACACGACTCTTAGAACTCATTTCTTATATGTACAATTATTTACAGATAGCTGATAAAATACAAAAATAAATTCAAGTTTTTCATTTTATCAAAATTTGAAGTACAATACATTTAAAGGAAAATAAATTAATATGGTCATTTTATAAATTCTTAAATAAATAGAGTGTATTACCCTATCCATCAAGGCTTTATATAAATTTTAGATTCATATAAAGTGTTCTTTTTTTTTTAAAGTAAAAATAAACTAATGGGAAAAAAGTTGTAACATTAATGTAAATACAATCTTTCTTTTTCTTATTTGACTTGTGATTTTAATTATACAAAATGTAAATTTAATTTTTAAAAAAATTCCTAAAATAATCTGAGAAAGGAGATGGTCCAGAATGACAGTCATAAAAAACTTAAAACCGTGAAAAACTATTTTATTTTAAGCCAAAATTCACTTATTTACATAAAATACAATGGTCAAACATTGAGTATTTCATAAAATACTTTGAATTTTTATATTGAACCTAAAACATTATTGATTTGTCTAATTTAAGTTAACTTGATTTTTTTTTTCTATATCATAGGATGTAAAAGCATTGCACTCTCACGTTTTTCATTTTATTCAAATAACTCATTTAATAATATTCAAACAAAGTCAAGACTGTTTGTATTTCCAGTTACTTAACTAATTATTAACATAACAACATATAATGTGTAAGATTGGGATGAGATCGGCAAAATAAAATGTTGGAAATTATATTTCAAAAGAAGCTCTGCGGACTTCATAAATTAACAAATCCTTGCTCGAGATAGTTTTGGAAACATTGAAAGTAAAACTCACACAGTTTAATATTTATATTTATATGTATTTCATTATTTTATATTAGTACGTCTCACCTATGTTTTTTATCTAAATATGTTATTATAATTTTATTGTAAATAGAATTAATTTATATTTGAAGATGGCTTAGCATATCTTATATGGGATTAGAATAAAATGGTATGGGTCTTTTGTTTTATGAAAACTGATTTTTATTATTTTAGGCTTCTAATATATTTTTCTTGAAATATTTATCGCTTTTATTTTTGTACTTAGATATTTAAATATATAGACAGGTTTTTTTTTAATTTATAAATATTTGATTGACAGTATAGAGAAAATGTTCTTTCTGGCAAAAATTCAATAACTACCTAAATTCAACTATTTTTCTAGAGTTTTATAAAATTTAATTTAATTGTGTTGTTATATATTTATTTAGTCACATACACAACTTTTCATATAAATTTTAAATTTAATTAACTGTGATATATTACTAAATTAAAATGCTTGATTATTTCTTCTTAGCATTCTGTCTTATTTATGTTATTGAAATAAAATATTTATATGGGAAAAAATAATAGAAAAATAAAAACAATTAAAATTTCCAAAATTGAGGCATGCATTAAACTGAATTTGAATCATTTAAAATGTATGTATTTTTTTTATGATATACTGTAAATATACTTATTAAAACCTTTCAGACTTACCTTAATTATAAAATAGATTTTAACAGAATAAATTAATTAAATATAAATAATTTAAAAACATTTTATTAACAGTTTATATACAAACAAATAAAAAAAAAAATTAAACAGAAGGAAAATCTCTATCAGGTCCTGTTACAGGAGTAAATGAAGTGTGGACTCTGGCCAGTTGTAAACATTCGAAATAGGATTAGCTTTTTATCCTTCTTGCCTCTTGTTTCAAAAGAAAAAAAAAATCAAAACAAACTTAGGAATTAGTGTTTTAATAGGTGTTTTATCTTTTTAAAAAGTTATAACTATGAATTTATAAATTTAGTCTTAATAATATTGAAATAATGAGAAACGGTATTATTAAATTAATTAATTGTAATATATAATAAAAATAAATAAAAAATGGATTGAATTTCACAAACTCAAAATATATTTTTAAAAATAGAGTCAAACCTTTTTATCTTGAAAATTTATAGGAATTTAAAATTATTTAAAAAGTATGTACCAAATATTTTAAATACTCTGAAGAATAGAGGAAAATTTCTTGAATAAGGAAAAGGCTTTAAATTCTGCTTTCTTGTTCTACCAACAACAAAAGTATTCCCAAACCGAAAATTGACTATTAAATCAACAATTTTTTTGGGGGAAATATTACATCCTTATCAATTTTCATTCACTTGCATATATAAAATTAAGAATGTTTCAACCCTCTTGACTTATTTTTTATTTAGCTAAAATCCAATTCACATTATTAAGAATTAATAACTATTTCATTATTTAGTAACACAAAGGATTGATGAGAAATTACTAAATATTATAAATTTATTATTTTTATATTTGTTTTTGCCTTCTTTTCATTTGTAATTAATATATTTTCATAGTGGACCAAAATTAAATTTTATTTTTTTTTCATAACGTATATGAAAAAGTATAAGCATTAAATTTAATACTTGTCATGTTGTGATATCTTACCTTTTTGTTTTTCTCTATACTCCATATCTCACCATTTGTGGCATACGGGAGGGTATTTCTTGAGTACAATGAAACCTATTCTAGATCAGATTCATTCCATGGATCTGCCTCAAAATAAAATTTAAACCTTAATCTAATATTGATTAAATGAAATAAATATGCCCTAGTAATGGAAAACCAAAATAAGGTTGTTTTAATACATTATAGTTATTTTTAAAGTTTTGCATTTATTATTTTGTTTCTATGCTTTCAATATCACTCGTATATATTCCAAAAACAAAATATTGGTTCGTTAAACTATATTAGGTCTATATATTAACCATCAAATTTGGTTGTTATATTTATAAAAATTAACAGTTTTTCAGCTGTCTGATTTATAAAATTAATTATTCTTTTTACTCATATTTCTTAAATCATAAATAATAATAATAATAAAGATTTAAAGTGCTGTGTTCGCACTTAGTAGACTCTTTCATAATAATGAACATTTCTAGTTACAAAAATTTTTTATTTGGCGAAGTAGACACACTTTTTCTTTAGTAAATATGTAAAAGATTTTCAGCTGCTTTATCTGTCTTGTCTACTACATCATTGGTGATTCTTTATATTTATATATCTGAAATATTCTTTTTAATAAATTAGATATTTTAAATGTTATTCTATACTTTTTTACAAATTCTTCTAGTTTTAGAAATATAATTCTCATATTCAAATTATTTTCAACAATTAATGAGGTCTTGAAAACATTTAAAAATAATAAGAAGATCCAACTCATAGTTTATCTTAAAAAAAATATATTGAACATTGATTGATAATTTCAACAAAATCATTTTTTCATTAATTGTTTTGCTTTTATTAAATGTTAGGAATTTAAAGGTGTATATTAAATTCAACTTCAAAATAGTTTATTTCTTACACAATTACATAAATAATTAGTTACATTAAATATACAGAACAAATGTATTACATTATGTACCCTTATGAAGATAACTGTTAAGTACATTTTGAACATTTAAGAAAAATATTTATACATAGTTATTTAACATACAAATTGAAGCGTAATTATTCATACTTGAAATTCTCACTTATCCTTTGGAGTCTTTATATTTTGTTGACCCTGTGTAATGGACTTAAAAATAATTATTTGTTTCTTAATAACCTTACTTATAGAAAAAAAATATATTAAAGCAGGGCTATACTTTGGCCAGACTGAATAAAACATAAATTTAATATATATATATATATTTTTTTTTGTTCCAATCCAAATTGTACGTCATAGTCAGGACTAAAGAAAAATGATTATATGATATAGGATACGATATCTTATATGTTTATATATCCATACATGTAAGTATTTATATAAATATAAACATTTAAATCTATACAATGGTGCTAAATTAAAGGTTTTCACCACTTTTTTAATCTTATCCTGTTCCCTCACTCTTCCTTAGCTTTTATTGTTTTATTCAAGAAAATTGAAAATGCATCAGATACCTGGGATTACTTGAACTTTACACATTTACTTTTTCAGAATTTCATATTTTATTAAACAGTTTACTGTACATATATGGTAGTGTAGATCCCTTTTTTGTGAAGGAGGATAGAGGTCGGAGGTATGGGATTGAATGGAGGATTTAAATTATAGGCTTTGAAAAATATAGGAGGGTGGCTGAGTTTTAATAGCCTGGTATAGAAAGGTAATAAGGAAGTACGAACAGAACCTATTACTTAATACTAATACCCAGAGCCACCGAGCCGCCTTAGCTCCATGTAATACTGTGTATTACTTCAGCATTCCATTCTCTATCTTTCATGTTGTATCAATAAAACATTCCTTATCTCTTTGCTAAACTAAAACTTATTAATAATACATTGATTTTTTTTTTTGAAGAGTGTTGTTCAGTTTTAATTGTCACTTCAAGATATGTGACGATAATCTACAGATTGGGTCATAACTTAAGTTTAAAAAAAAAGAAGCTATAAATATAATAGAGTTCATGTTTTATTCAATCTGACCAGTTTATGGTAAACTTACCCTGTATACAGAATACACAGCCAACCAAAGTCATTAATTCAAGTATTATTAGAAGCTGCAATACGTTTTTTTTTTTTTTTTTCCACCAATATATCTAACATCAATGACATCAAATGTTAATAATTTTAAGTTTCACATTTAAACAAACATGCATTTTATGAATCTTCCACTATTATAATTACTACTGATTTAGTAATAAACATATTTATTTCTTAATAATATTAAGAATACCATCAGTAAAATTGGACAGAACTTGATAAAGGTTATCCACAAATCTTATTTTCTACAAAAAATATTCCTTCATAACTTGTCTGTTTATTTTATTCTAATGCCTATGAGAACATTCATTCATATGAATTTAAAAAACATTTTTATTGTGTAATTCAGTGTATTATAAACTTCTTTATTCTTATTTCATTTCATATTTGTGCTTGTATATCTATTTAACTTCGTACTCCTAAAAATCTTTGAATATTTAAAAAGACTATAGAAGGACACAAACAATCATAGAAAAATAAATTTTACATTTAATACTCACTCAGGTACCAATTTATATTAGAGTATTGTTCTCATAGAAATTAAATGTGTTAAAGAAGAATAATAAAAAAAAAAACTGGAAGTGAGTTGGAAAATTATTTAACAGAGACGGGATTTCTATGCTTTTGAATGTTTCTTTTCTGAGAAGTCGTCTGAGTATCTATTCTAAATTATTTAAATGCAATTAAATACACATTGTATATTTTGTATATTACAATTTAAACTTATAAATATTTCGATAAAATATTCTTTTAATAGCAAAAGAAAAAATATTTTTACTTTTTATTGACCCTCTACTCAGTTGTAATTTCTCAATACACTCTCACAATTTCTTTCTTTGTCTTTTAAGAACACTTTACGTTTTAGAGTAATGTTTTAAATGATAGAAAATTATTATGGATCCTAAAAAAACAAAACAATAACTCCACATTTACATAGGAGATAAATAACTCTCCACCAATATTGGTGAACTTTATTTATGCCTGTAATTCTTAAAAGATTGTTAGATATGAAATTTGACTTCATCTTGGAATACAGATACTAGACATTAACACTGTTACAGATTTATGCTTAATTTGCTTGACCATCAATCTTTGAACTTAGTAGATTCCAAACTGTTCGTTCAGAAATACTTGAAATAATTATAAACTCAACTTGACAATAGTTTCCAATTAGACAATGACAAAGTTCTATCTATACATCCCATTTGTTCAGCAGTATATTTTCATTAAACTCAATATTTTTCTTTCCTCTGCATTTCTGATTCCTTTATATTAAACTTTTAATTAGGCAAAAGAAAAAATAAATAAATTTAAATATAGTAAAAAAGATCACTCATTTTTTGTTTTACACTTACAAATTTATTATTTAAATAATTTTTAGCTAAATTATGAAGATAGATCATGAAGATTTTTTGTTTGTTTAATATTCTTTTATTATTGTTGGTATTTTGGCTTCATGAGCCATTTTAAAACTAATTCATACTTCTAATGCATGATCTATATTCTTTTTATGAAAAATTTCAATGATATTTCACAGCTTTGTTAAGTCTTCATGTCTGATTTAGAAATTTATTTATTTTATTTCAGCCCTCTACCCTATAGGATCATTTTTCAGGGCCATAGGCTCATCGTACAGCTAATTTAAAAAAAATTCATAATTTTTTCAATTTTTTTTTGTTATCTTCTAGTAACTCTTAGATATTTACTGGTAACTTCATAGAGGTTCATGAGTTTTTGAATTTAATGCAGTCTACTATTAAGTGTTTCACTGTCATTATAACCGAACACTTTTTGCAAATCGGTGGATCTAGTTTTTGCAGAAGACATTCATGAGAGTATTTCCAATGGCCAATACAGTTAGATTTGTTTACCTTTTTTTTCCTGTCAACAAATTATTATAGTTTTCAAGAAGAATATTTTTGTAGTTTTTTATTCAATTTATTATTTATTTATTTTTTTATGACCACATAGAAATCCAATCTCCTATAACTATTATTCAGAAATGTTTATTAGCATATGGATGGTAAATTAAAATTAGAAATAGAAAAGAAAAAAGTATAATGTTTCTACTCTGACATATGCAACACTGTTAAGAGATTTCAACTTAAGAGAG